TGATGAAAGATTCAGCTGCACACCCGCCAACCATAAAATTTCACGCCAAAAAGTGCTGGTGAAGACTGGATCTCGGTCGCTGACGATGGAGACCGGAAACCATGCAAGCGGACGATCTCAGCGAAGAAGGCAGCTACTACCGACGTCGCCGTGTACGGATGAGAACGGGATGAAGTGGGCACCGTTACGATGACCGTCTTGCCATGTACTCGCGGGAGCCCCTCGACGAAGTCCATAGCGATGTCAGCCCACACCGCCAAAGGCACCGGCAAGGATTGTAGCAGGTTGGCCGGTTGGAGGTGCTCCGTCTTGTTCCGTTGGCACGTGAGGCACGCGCGCACGAAATCTTGCACCGTCGCTCTGTCCCGCGAGATATGGAAATCCGCGCGAAGGCGAGATAGGGTCTTTTGCGTTCCCTCAAGTCCCAAGCCATGCACCGACTCGAGGATGGCCGGCAATGATTCGGATGATGGCGGCATGAAGACGCAGCCCTTGAACATGATGAGGTCGTCTGTGAACGCCTATGCTGGCGGTTTGGCACCCTTGGTGATGTCTTCACAAATGGCGGACAGGGCGGGTGTGGAGGCTACCTCGCGGGACAACTCATCGAACAGGGAGAATTGGTGGGGGGGATGATAAGGCGAACGCCTCCGCCAGGTGTTCGTCCCATCTAGAGAGCGCGTCCGCCACCAAGTTCGCCATTCCCAACTTGTACTACACGCCAAAGTCAAAGCCGAGGAGCTTGCTTGCCCACTGATGCTGTGGAACAGTGGAGAGACGCTGATCCAAGAGGAAGCGCAAGCTGCAGTGGTCGGTGCGGATGAGGAAGCGACGCCCCCACAAGTATGGCCGCCAATGGCGGACCGCCTGGACGAGGCCAATCAACTCGCGTTCGTAGGCAGCGAGCTTGGCGTGGCGCGACGCAGTCAGCTTGCTGAAGAATGCCACCGGGTCGATGCCTTGATGGAGAACAGCACCTAGGCCGGAGCCCGACGCGTGGCACTCGACGATGAACTCCTTGTCGAAATCCGGGAGCTGGAGGACTGGGGCCGCCATGAGTGCGTGTTGTAGTTGCCGGAACGCCGTTGCCGCGGTGTTAGACCAGTGAAAGCCCTCCTTCCGCAACAGCGCCGTGAGGGGCGCGGCGATGGTGCCGAAGTCGCGGATGAAACGACGGTAGTAGCCCGCCAAGTGAGGAAGCCCCTGACCGTGCGCGTATTCTTGGGCAGTGGTGGACGGAGAAGGCCGGGGCAGTTGACGCGGGAAGGAGCGAAACCGACCAATGCCGGTCACATCTGGAGCGTACCGTTCCACCGGTTGAGTGGCGAGGGCCAATTGGTCAACTGGTCGCTGCTAGGGTGGCTAGTACTGTTGCTGCTGTTGTCCTCCGTTGTTGTTATTGCAGCGACGGTTGCGGTTACCTCCCTGCCGATCGGTGTTGTTGCCACGATTTCCAGCGTTGCCGTAGCCGGTGGAGTATGCGGGCTTGCTTCCTAATGGCACCCCCCCGGAAGTGGAAGGTCGGCCTCCAGTGCCGGCGAGGAGAGCAGTAGAAGCTTAGCAAGGACGACCCTTCGTCAGTTCTTCGAGCAGAAGTTGAGCACGTACTTCGGCAAATGTGGGGAAAGGTTTCTGCATAGTGAACGCAGATTGCAAGTGACCGAATTTTTCATTCAAACCTCGGATTGTAGTTAGGGAAAGAGTGCGGTTGCCCACATCGTCCAAGTCGTCTGCCATGGTCTTCAACAGGCAACAGTAGTCGTTGATGCTCAAATCATCTTGGTAGAAGTTGTAAAACTCGGTGGAGAGGTTGAGAGCGTGGGACTCGCGGTTGCCCAAGAACTGAGGTTTGAGGCCACGCTGCACGATGCGAGCCGTGGTGTTGTGCGTCATCACGGACTCCAGTAAGTCGACGGAGATGGTGCCGTAGAGCCACAAAACTACGATGCAGTCCATGCACATCCAATCCTGACGATCCGGCCTGTAGAGGTTGGTGAGGACGTGATCGGCGAGCGCGTACTTGTCGAGGGTGACGAGGATGAGACCACACCATTGTGTGTAGTTGCCGAAGTTGAGATCGAGGGTGACGGGCATGAGAGACTTGATGTTCAGCATCGAGACCGCCTGAGCGTGGAGATTGGCGGTGGCGTCATTGTTGAGGTCGACGTTGTAGAAGTTCTGGGCAGTAGGGGCAGGAGCAGCACCGGTCATCAGAGGGATGAAGCCACCGTAGCCGGGAGGAGGTGGTGGTGGTGCACCAGCTGCTTGAGGAGGAAGACCCACTAGAGGGAGTGTTGCCGATGCAGCGCCAGGCGTGATGAAGAAGGCGGAGACGTCCTGAGCAGGCAGAGCGGATGCAGAGGCGTCGGAGGTGCCATAGAGGCCACCGGTGGCAAGGATGGCCGTGAGCTCTGGCGGTAGTGGGAGAGAGATCGGCGGTAGTGTCGTGCCTAAGGGGGCAGTGGTGAAGAGCCCGGCAGACATCGTCGCAGCCGTCATGGTGGTGGTCGCGGCTGAGGAAGAAGAGTTGTCGCCGTGTGGGTGTTGCCGGCGATGAAAGAGGTGCCAGTACCAGCTTCTCGATGAAAGAGGCAAGGGCTTTCCTGGTGGCGCAGGCAGCAGTGGTGGACGCCGTGTCGATGACGGAGGCGGCTATGGCTGGGTCAACATCAACCCTAGATGAGGGTTGGAAGACATCCCGAACTGCCTCGGTGACCACAGATGTGATGGTGTCAATTGCGGCAGAGGGGGTAAGGGGAGCGTTGTCGGCCATGGCGCAGGAGCAATGTGGTGGCGGCGGTGGTGGCGGCGGCGGCGGCGTCAGAAGCGTGCGTAGCAGAGGAGCGCATGGCGCGATGCGAGATTAGAGTTGGAGGCGGAAGCTAAAAGCATCTGATACCATGAAAGCGTATAGAAGTCAACACGATAATAGATTGATCATGGACAGAGAACATATATAGGGACGGTGGACCTGTATCTCTACCCGACTTATAGAAACAGAATCAGGAGATAATTAGGAAACCGAACCCAATACAAATATGACTCTAACAGCCTCTGCCGCCCGCTCCCACACCTGCTCCCTCTCCCGCGCCGCCACCGAGCGCTGCCTACGCCTCCTCATCGCGCTGCCACCTCCGCCACCGCCGTCACCGAGCACTGCCACAACAACGTCCTCCACTGCCGCCGCCATCGCTGAGCGCCGTTGTAATGCCCCGAATTTCGAATTAGCATATTTCGGGGAATATTATAGCAAACGAGCAAAAGTTCAACCTTTAAACCGTTGTTCGAATAGGCGATCAGGAACCGTGGATGCGTAGAGCTCGCCGAGTAGTGCAAAATAAACTACTAGTTTATAGAAATCAGAGTCCGAGCGAAGTCCCCGGGATTGAAACGATGTGGGCCGTTGGATCTCCTTTGTCTCTTTATATAACTAACAAAAAAAAAGAAAGAAAAAAACTCTCGCTACAGCCAGCCCTAGCCCTAGCCGCTCCTGCGCTCTTGCCGCCGCCGCCGCTGCCGCCGTCGTCCCGGTTGCCGCCGCCGTCTTTGCGCTGCCACCACGGCCATAGCCGGAGGCCGCAGCCGTCGTCATCCATCACAACCTGTGTTTCCTTTCCATTTTCCTTTTTCCCGGTGAGTTCTGGCGGCTGTTCCTTGTTCTATCGTTGCCAATCTGATTGCTTGTTGCTGGGGCTACTGATGCCATGCGACTGCTGCTGCTAGGGTTGTTGCTGCTGCTGCTGTTGTTGCTTGTTGCGGTGGCCCTGCTGCTGTTGCTGCTGCATGATCAGAGGAGAAGGGTAGAGAGAGGTTGTACAGGAGGGAGAAGGAAAGGAAAAGACAGAGCAGCGTTGAGGAATTTCAGCAATTTCGCAAATTAGGGAAATTTGTCGCAAGGTAGTGTTCCTTCCCTGCAAAGGCAACTTCTCTTTAGTCCCTAGAAGTATAAGATTCAAATAGAAATTGATTGGATAGCTGCTCGTGCAATTTTTTAGGTGCTTTATTATAGGATGAAACCATGTTTTCAAATCTGGTATGAAACCATCAGGATTCAGGTTAGTTGTCCTAAATAAAGTTTGTAGTCATCGTTGATATCTTTCTAACGCCGCTGGTTTCGCTCGATTCCGATAAACGGTTTAGGAGAAACAACAAAAACAGTACTGTTGACCAGGTCCGAAAATCAGGACACCAATTCGTTTTTTCTTAATATGGGATTTACAGAGCCATAATCTGATTTTCCTCCCAACATAAAAGTTGTAGAGAATTTTATCTAGATGTCAAAGTTATATTATTTTCTAGATTCCGTTAGACGGTTTGCGAGTTACACATAGAACAGTAAGGGAACTGCTATAGGTTAATTAATACAAATCGGTAAAAAGGTCTATATATTCTAGGTTATCGATTTTAGTAAATATCACTTGTAACTATAGTTAGTTGAATATAGTGGTTTATGCGTAGCTTTGCTCCACAGGTGTGGAGGGTTCCAACATTGGAGGAGTTGAGTCGGAGTATCGAAGGAGTTAAGACAAGTACAAGACGGACTTGTGTGATGTATAAACTGTGTTTCTTGTTTGATTTCACATACCCAATTATTATTCGAAAGCTTACTATCAGTAATTATGTGGATTTGGTATCATTGCTACATATTTACGTTTCACTTTATGTTCAAGTTCACGATGTTATTCATGTTTCATTATTTCGGATGTTTTTGTTTACATTATTCAAGTACCATGCGTAGTCATGGGAGTGTAATTTGGGTCTTTATTCATGATCCTTGAGAAGTGTTGATCACGCTTGCTCGGCTTACCGGTAATGCTAAGAGGATATTCATACCTACTCAGGAGGGAACTACTATCTTTTGACTTCTTTGGTTTAAAATAAAGTAAATCCAACCCTTCATATTGGTTTCTTATTGCATTAATCATGTGTATGTTTTACTAGTTCAATATTGTACTTGCTGAGTATTCTTTACTCACTCTTGTGTTTAATTTGGTTTTTAGGTACCTAATGACATTGATCGGCATGGGGCGGGAGTAGCACCCTTGGACTACACTTTATTATTGCACACTATTGAAATTTAGTTTTAGACTATGTTTATGCATAGCACAAGTTTTGCGTTGAACTTGTAAAGGTCATTTAAAGTTCTGGTCCTTATTTTCACGTGGAATTTGTGGAGCTAGGATGGTTTGGATTGTGTGGATTATATCGGTATTGACTTTTCTTATAACTACCTGTTTTCACATGGAATTTGTGGAGCTAGAATGGTTTGTATTGTGTGGATTATATCGGTACTGATTTTTCTTATAACTGCCTGTCGTGGATGTCCGTATTTTTTAGGGGAGATTTTACCGAAATTTCTAATAATTTTGGGACTTAGGTTTTGAGTGTATTTTGGTGTGGCACTCTAGGTACGTGGTTACCTAGGGTGTTACAGCCGCCACTACATCCTTCGTCACCATCGTCGATGGCCGCTGCTGCGCCCTCTGTTGCCGCCGCCATCGAAGAAACGGCGGTGGTGACAGAACAGACGTCAAGGAAGGCGGTGGCTGCAGCGACAAGAGGAGAACGGCACGTTGCCAGGCTCTCGAGCTCACCCCTCATCAGTGATCCGTTCTTCGCTCAACCTCGCTGTTGTCGCAGGCTCCAAACCTAGATGACGGTACAAATCCAGTGGAGCTCTTGCTGCTCGTCACCTCTCAGGTCGGTCCCCTCTCCCTCAGGTAACTGATGTACTTAAGGATACTAAATTTTACATTAAAAAATGCATTACCTTTCTTGAAAACCAAAAGGACACATATTTTTAACCAGAGTGAATATTATTTTCTTTTGTACATATGATTTAATTGGAATTGATATCACTCCAACTCTTCAAGTCCATACTTAATATGAGTACATTTCAGGCGGCCCAAACGGGGGACACAATCCTCCTATGTCGCCGGGACATGCATAACTCAAATGGAGAAAGGCCATGGAAGGATTTAAGCAGAGGCAGGAACAACTAGAATGTGCACTGCTTATTCATGTTCTTCCTTCTGTTTCATATTACTCATCGTCGTCGTTCTAGGATTTAATTTTATATTAAATTATTTGTCGTTTTCTCGATCCAAAGAAATTTTAAAGGTGATCGATATTATTCCCTCCCTACCTACAGTAATGCAGCAATACATATTGATGCGGTCATAATTGGCTCATCTACTTTGAAAAGATAATTAAGATGTATCTGACAAGGGCAACCATGTAATCTTTCACATCTTCATGGTTTGCACGGTATTTGCCTGGATAACAAGTAAATTGGAACAGAGAGAGTACAGTTTTAGACTTTCAGTGTGTTCCTTCCAATATAAGAAGGGGTAATTGCTCATTTCACCTTGTAGTCTAACCACTAATTTGACTTTTCAAGTTTATGTATTTAACATCGCTTTTTAAAATCGGAGTACTCGAGGTTGATCCTATTCCATGAAGGTAAGATAATGGTGCTAACTAAGAGACGAATTATCTTTTTTCCTTTCCTCATTTGACCATGTTGTATAAACGTTTTTTTTTGTTTGCTCGAAATTTTTTGACATACTTTAACACATTGAGCATATTTTGATATATTTGAGACAAGTCTAATAGATTTCTCTTCTTTTTAATAAATTTGGCTTCAATTTGATAGAATTTTGACAAAATTAAACTTTTTTTTTGCAAAATTTTGAGAGCATGTCGTCTCAATTTTGTTCATCCAAACTTACATACGGTGAAGAAAAACACGGATATAGCTCCAGAAAGGAGATGCTCGGCCGGCAAACAGAGGTTGATCCATTGTCGCCGCCCAGCCGGCAGCCGCCCTTGAATCACCCTTTGCTGATGGCCGCCCCGCTGACCTTGCCGCCTTGGCTGTGTGTCACGAGGGCCCGACTAGATATGGACAGAGCGAGCCAGAGGTGGATGTCGAGCTCGATGCAGGAGCCCACCTACCGCGTCGTTGCTATCGTCGCCACTGTCACGTGATATCACCGTCATCAAGCCCATTGATGGCTCGATTTTCTTGCACCGCCATCGCGGCTTGTTGTGTAGTTGGTCGCCATTGATAGACCCAAAACCAAAACCTAAACTGTGAATCATACACAGTGACGAATCCAGAACAAAAGTTACCGGAGATCCGATACATATAATTATTTAATTATTAGGTAATATATTAATTAATATGGTACAAATTAGTTAGAATTGAATAATTTACACGGGTCCGGTGACCTAGGAAACACTACGTAGAAACACCCCTGGCCATGGAACTGCGTGAGATAAGGGAGAGAAATGGTCAAATGGAGATATGACATAAGATTTTTTTAAAAAGTAATGAAATGGGAACATAAAATAGAGGGAATATGAGACAATAAAAATGCATACTTAGAGTGGTATTTTCAAGTTCATTTCTAACTAAAGATCGAGGAATGGATAAAAATTAGATGCTAGAGCAAGGGAAAAAAAGCGAGAGATGTGTGACTCAATTACTGGTCAAAGACAAAATATGTTTTCGTGGATGAAATAGTCTTCCCCTTGACCTTTGACTGCAGGAATGACACGGAAATTCTGGGTGTGTCTAGCAACCAAAAAAGCAAAAGAGTAGACTTATAGTTGATCAAAGTTGATTACATCACATTAATATGATAGTACTGAAGTATATATAGACCAGCATACTACTGGAATAGTACATAATTTGTTCACAAGCTGACAAGCGGCATATCGAAGACCTTTTTTTTTTCCTGAACAGTAACAAATAGTATAATAAGTGAGCCGATAATATAAATAGCCTATCATGGCCGTGAGACACCAGTTAATTTCAGATTATATATATGGCCGTCGATCGAGCTAGCTAAGCAAACACACCATGGCTGCTTCTTTCATGGCTCGCGTCGTGCTAATCCTAGTGCTGTCCCTCTGGCTGCTGCCGTCGCTTCTGCCCGGTTCTCTCGCCGCCGGCGCTTCATCAGCCGGCAACGAGCTTTTGCCATGTGAGTAATCTGCCATTTTTTTTTTTTGGGAACTAAACAAGCAGGAGCTCTGTCAATTATATTTAAATCAGTAGAGTAAAAACCCAGAGACGACGATGGTTAATTACAGGAAAAGAAAAAAGAAGGTTGTCAATCTCTATTACCAGTACTATAGTCAATAGTTGTTTTTTATTTCCTCAAACATTTTATGTCGAGAAGAATTATATATTTCTCATGTTCAAGTGAAATCTGTGGTGCAGACTACTACTGCAACCCCGTAAGTTAACGTACTGATCACATAATATTACGAATCTAGATAAACCCATGTCTAAATTTATTGTATTGGTGATGTCATATTTTATTTATTATTTATTTTAGAGAAGGGTATGTTTTATCCGGCATATACATCTAACTGTATATATGCAGTATTTTTAAATCAAGAACTTAGCCTATTATATAGCTAGGGAACTTAGCTATCAAATAACCCAAACTGAAATTCGTTCCTATAAAGATTTGAACTCAGCATCTTAAAATGCTACTCTATTTAATATTCTATTTAATATTAGATTTATATTTTGGGACGAAAGAAATAGTAATTAAGCATCGTTCGCGTGTGCATGCCAGTGAGCGGTGGCAGCTCCAGGCGGATGGCGATGGTGAGAAGCAGGGAGAGGAAAGACGGCTATGGTTTAAGTATCGCGAAATCAGCACGGCGATCTCTCCGGCTTACACCCGGTTATGAACACAGTAAGCAGCGCTTGGAATTGACAACAAATTAAGTGGTTTGATAATTTGATGCTGCCATGGAAAGTAGATCATGTTGAATGGGAGATATATATATATATATATTAATATATACACGAAACATATACAGAGTTTGGGAAACTATGTAGGTTATACATGTTTGATTCAATTATGTTTTTTAGGTTATGAAGTAGATCAGTTCTTTTTTCCTCATTATATAACTTTTCAGGGTTATTACTAGTATGCGAATATTGATTCCAGCCGTCTGTAAAAACCATTTCTATAGTAGCGACTGTCTTGTAATATTTTCCTGCTATATTAATATGAAACCTCATACCCGGTTCCTTAAAAAAAATTGCCACTTACAAACTATTCCAGTTGTTTTGCACTTTAAAATCCTATTTAGAACGTTGGAATTTTGCATGTTTTTCGCAGGGACTTCACACAAGCAGTAATTAAAAAAAATGTTTTTTAAACAGGGACAAAGATAGCTAGCTTTTATAAATTACTGATTTTATCAAGTATTCCCTCTAAACATAAAAATTTGACGTTTCAGGTTAAGATTTGGTCAAATTGACCATCAATCACTTCTCAAATGCATATTTTAAAAGGTGCCGTGGATAGATTTTTCATGTCTATCATAATATCGAACTCATGTAATATGAAATCGATAGTTAAAGTTTTTAGAAATTTGACCTTCTAAACGTTGATATTTATGTCTCGAGGGAGTATTAGTATGTACGTAAAGTTTAGGCAAAATTTGTTACAGGATACTCAAAGACTGTGGTCTTTGTTGTGAGACACCCGAAGATCGTGTATTTGCTCGTGGACACTGTAAAAAAGTGGTAATTAGCTGCTGGACACTCTTCCCATTATTTTATTATTTCCGGTCAAGATGAAGAGAGAAAGAGTTGTGTAAGTACCAAAATGCCACTGGACACTGTTCTTCCTCTCTCTATCTTTTTTCCCTTCTTCTTCCTTGCAGCAGAGCAGAGGTGCGAGTGTGCGACGGCGGCTGGCCCGAGCCTGGACGGCTCAGCCATGGCGAGGCGGCGGCGGGGCGGTGTAGGCCCCACATCCTTTCTTTTTCTCTTCTTTCTCTCCTCTCTCGAGCAGGCGTGGTGGCAGACTTGCGTGAGGCGGCCGGCGGCGGAGCAGGGGGCGGCGGCGCTGGAGAGAGGGAGAGAGACGGCCGACGCGATGGCGAGCTCGGCGGCGGAGAGTAGCGGCGCGCGGCACGGCAGCGGGGGAGAGGGGGCGCGCGCACCGCCCGTCCTCCATCGCGATGGCGTGCAGCACGTTCTTGTCCTCCAGCGACGCCGGCGTGCCGACGTCGGACCACGACCAGGCCACGTTCTTCTTGTCCCGGAAGTCCAGCAGGATGATGAAGGAGGTGTCTGTCCGTGGGAACATGGTCGCTGCCATGAGCGTGCTCGTGCCGTCGAGTCACTGGAGCTTGTCGGCGTCGCCGAGTGCACAGCCCGGCGGCTCGTAGAAGAAGTCGGCCTGCTCGCCGGTGGTGCAGTCCCAGACGCCAATGCCACCTATAGCTGACTGAGGTCTTATGATCATTGTGACAGGATGCACCCTGCATCCTTAAACCGTGACAGCCTCTGCAAAGCCAACCTCATACACACTTTGCTGCTCATTGCTGATCGATCACATGATGCATGATATGGCCATTCATGTAGAGAAGAATCCGGACAAGAATAACTACTAGTGGATCATGGTGCAGTTGCAGAGATTGGGGAGGAAGAAGAACACTCAATGAATGTCCCTTGTTGCCCGAGACGCGGCCGATTCGCGCCTGCCATCTCCAGTTGTACACGCGCGATGCGGAAGAGGTGGCGCAGGTCGCCGGGAAGGCAGTTATACACGCGCAGGTCGCCGCCGCTCCTCCATCGCTCATTTGTACACGCGCACAGCGCTGCCGTGCGCGACGCAGCAGCCGCCGTCGGGCGCGGCGCGGACAGCCGTCCCGTCGCCCGCGGCGTTCCCTGCCATGGACGCCGCCAGATGCAGCTGGTCCCCGTCGAACGGCCCCCACCGTGCCTCGCGGAAGAGGTCGAGGAGGCCGTAATAGAGCGAGGTAGAGCGCCTCGCGCCCCCCGGCAAAACCTTCGCGTTGCTGTCGAAGAAGAACAGAGAAAGAGAGATTGACAAGTGGGCCCATGGACAAACTTGTCTTTAACTTAAGTTTCTCTCTCCGTTTTCATCGAAAATAATAAAATAATGGGAGGAGTGTCCAGTAGCTAATTACCACTTTTTTACCGTGTCCACGAGCAAATACACGATCTTCGGGTGTCTCACAGCAAAGACCACAATCTTTGAGTATCCTGTAGCAAATTTTGCCTAAAGTTTATTACTTACATCATTTCAGACCCTGGGGATGGACCGCGTGAAACTCCTGTCACTCCTATAGAAAGAAATAAGCAGCCAGGCAACTGATCAGAGAAGGAACACCTCTGATGGCACAACAAGAACACTTGAACGAGGAAATGATTCAGCTGTGATCAACAGAGGTTGTAATAAAAACTGTTAAAAACTCTAATAAGAAGTTACTCCTTACGGAGTAATAATACTTGTCATTTTGAACAAGTCTATTATTAAACTTTAAAAACTTTAAACATATGAAGACCATATGTATAGATTAGTATTAAAAAGTCTTTTCATAAAATCATATGTATTGATATTTCTATATATATTGTAAAAGAAAAATAGTGGTCAAAAATATTTTTAAATATCATTTTTGTCCAAAACGACACGTATTATCAACCCGGAGGGAGTAACAGATATGATAGCCAGTTGAAGGATTGTTTGTCTGTTCATTATAAATTTTGTTTCAATTACTCATACATATTATAAGATTATTTGTAATGATGATCTTCCTTTTTTTTCTTCCCTGCCACGCTTCGTATTGGCATGGTCAGAGTCTTCTTCATGATTCTCTATGTGTTATGTGTTGACAAAAAAATCCACGTTTGGCTGATAATGTCGGGTCTGTGTTGGCACGTACTAGGTCGACGAACACAACGGCCTGGGAGATCTGCTTAGCTTCTGTGCAGATCCACCGGTTGATAAGATACGGGCGTGCCAGTCAGTTTGATCATGCAACTGACAAGATATACAAATAGCATATCAATAAGCCAATTGGTTGTCAAGCCGATGGAGTAATTCAGCTGATGCCGATACCAGCCGATGTCAATAGGGTTTTGAGCAATCGGATATATGTCCAATATAGATAACGATATAAATACAATTGATTGATAGCAATGTAATAAAACAATAATAACATCCAGTAGAAACCAATCGGCTAACAATGATATAATAGAATAAGCACTGATCCGAAGGTTAAAACATACATCGGCTGAATGTCCGATGTCATAAAATCCACAAGATTAGATAAACAATGAAACCTTTGTTGCAACGGGCTAAATCCAACTTGTATGCAATCCTTGTAAGCCGAAGCAACGTCCAGATAACTCATTTGCTGAAACCTCAATGAAATCCTTATTAGCAATCAAGAAGCGGGCTAGAGATTATGGTTCTAAGCACGACTTAATAGATCAGACTTAACTAATGCAATACTAAGTATGAAAAGAAACATAATATCTAGAAAATCAAACATTTTTGTGTGATTTTCAGGGTGGTAGATACCTTAGCTAATCTAATCTAGTAAAATGATTTAGCCGATACCAGCATAAACCCTAAAGCGAGAATCGGCCGATATATCTAAATTGATATACTAAGACCAGATTAACTAAGATATATGATAAATAGGTAGGTAAATATATCAATTGAACCAGAGCAATCCAAGAGGTCAAATACACTGATGCAGCCTTGAACGACGCCGATGAAGCCAATACAATTGCCAGGGCCGGCGGAACATAGGACTTATCCCTTCGTCAGAGATTGAAAGCCGATGCAACCCCCGTCAAGTGCCAAGTTTCGTCAATGATAAGTAAAAACCTTGGTAAAGAGGTTGGCAATGTGCCAAGAGTAGTTGTATTGATCTAGGATATAGTTTACAATAACCCTGGGTGCACATATTTATACCCATAAGTAGATACTAGTCCTTGTTGGATAAGAAATAAACTTTCCTAAAGATAAAAGGAAAACATAAAGTCCTTATTGACACTAAGCACATTTTTCTAAAGACAAAAGGAAACTAACAGACTCTTCCTAATTAATAGATAACTTGCCATGCATGCTGCATCCTTCTTGAACTCGGTCTCTTCTGGATAAGCTTCCCTGAATAGATTAATTTCCTTAACCGAATATAGCAAGAATCCAACTATTGCCGCCTTGATAATTCCCATCGGCCGATTACAGGACTCTGAAGCCGATACTGATTCTAGATCGATGATGACTTCGGGGCTTACTAAATTTCACTGTTAACACTATGTCCCTTCTTTCGAAAGCCCAACAACATTAATTGTCAAGAAATCTTCAGAATACATTTGTTATAGTAGGGGCCTATTGATGAGAATGAGAGGGTTTATTCTTACACACCGAGTTGAATAATCATGTTCTTAAATTCACATCATCACATCACATACCAAAATTATCGAATACTATAAATGTACAAACTTATTGAAATGCGGTAGAAATATATCAATATTTGATATTGTCTTGTATCATTAATAATCGACTAAATTAACCAGCAAGTTCGAATGTGCAAATATTACAATATAAAGAATGCAAATACAAAAGATCTTAGACAAACAAAAAAAATAAAACAATGCCACTACCTTACTCTGCGCTTGCTCTTAGACATGAAAGTTTTATTACGTCTTAACTTTAGAGAAGATATTTCACTCAATAAATATGACTAAGAATGATTCAATAAATCATCACATAAATTGTTTCTCAACTTGTTTTCACTAGACTCAGTGCAGAAAAAACACTCTCAACACTTACAGCGGTTACCGCCGGTAAAATCAATACCAATTTAAGAAGCAAATACACAAAATCATAAAAAAAACATGGTTGTTTGTTTCAAAAAGCAACCAATTGTTCCAAACGCATGAATAGGTACTAAAACAATTTTGAGTACTTTTGTTTTTGCACCACATAAATTTTCCGGTGGGCTCACCGACTCGTGTAAAAATTATTTTTCACAATCAATGGTGTCAAGCATATTCCCATATGCCTGAAAACACTTTTGAGTGGTTTCGAATGGTTTCATTTTCGCACCACACAAACTTTCCGGCAGGCCCACCGACTCAAGTAAAAATTTCTCACAGTTTGGATGTAAACCAAATCTATTACTTTGGAGGTTTTATCTTCCTGAAAGATTTCAATATTCTCTTTACATACCTTGGACATGTCTTGATGGCTTCATGTTATTTTTAGAACTATTCACCTTAACAACCACCGTTTGCTAAGGTGATGAACATCACACTAACATCTACCCATAATGGCATCCAATGCACAATTCTGCGACGCGTGAGTCACATAGAAATTTTTCACAATGAACGCATCCAATCCATTGGTATGAAATTTATGGTTTGGTGCTTTTTGAACCATTCCGTTCCGGTGATAAACTTCGCAAAACCATAAACCCAGAATGGCATTCAATGCCCAACTTTACGTTGCGTGAGTCACCAAAGGTGAGTATTTTGATAACTGAGCAGAAGAATATGACTATAGAGTTCGAAAACCCGTAAACACGTAATATTGCTTGAAGTTACACATTGAGCTTTTGTTTTTTGCGGGCTTCCTGACCCATCAAACCTTAGCTTCATCCCTAAGGGCGGCTTGCAAAATGGCACCCCCTCGCCGCCCTTTCGCAGCGCCCCCCAAACCCAAACAAAAAAAGGGGCATTCTAGAGGGCGGCAATGGGTCTGCCTACAAAAAATCCTAGGCCGCCCTCACAGCCCTTCTGTAGGTGGCCCTTAGCGCGAAAAAAATGCTCTCTGAGAGGACTGAAAGAAACCTCCGAGAGGATGGCAAAGGGGCTGCCTGCAAAATATTCATCCCTCGGCGGGCAGTCGTTAAGGGGGTTCCAATGGCCGTCTGCTACGTAGGATAAAACTTCTTTCCGGAGAGCGTTTTTTAAAAAACGCCTTCTCCAAGGGCGTGAGGCGACTAGTATTGCAAAATATTGAAACAAAAATCATTTTTCAATATTTTAGTAAATAAAATAAAAAAATCCAAATCGACAGTAGGGAGAATTGACTGATAGGTTGGAATTTTGTGGATGCCTACGAAATAGCAAACACGATAAACATGCATGCAGAGAGCAAGCTAGCTAATTCGGAAACCACACGGAAAATATTGAACAATAGTTTGTCCCAAAAAAAAAATACTTCAAGAGATATCCCGCCTCTTCAACTTATATATTATGTACCGTGATAGGAATGTGGCATGCATGGTTATCTCGCCTCATTCTCAGTCAACGATTTCATCAGCCTGGATATAACTAATTTATCACCGACTCAGATTGAATCAGTCGTGTTGAAAAATTGACATATTATTCAGCGGGAAAATTAATAACCCTTCTTAATTCTTATGTGCCTAGGTAGCTTAACTTGTCAAGGGATTTAAATACTCCTACCATGCAAGTAGCTAGCATAGCCAAGCTACACACACTATCTGCAGCAGCGAACTGAAGTGAATCCGGCGAAAAAATTTCTGATCTCTGAAGCACCATGGAAGCTACTGCTCGACTTCGCGTGGTGGCAATCCTACTGATGTCGTCGCTCTTGCTGTCGCCGCCGTTTCTTCTCGCCGACGGCTCATCAGGAGGAGGTAGCAGAGGCCGGGAGATGAAGCACGATGATGGCCATCTGGTTATTGCTCCAAGAAAATTGACATGGCCTCGTCGAGTTCTAAACTCTGGTAAGTTCAAATAGGACAAATTAATTATGTCTCTCTAGATCTCCCTCTCCTTTGATGCAAATTACAGAGAAATTCAGCTGCCAGTTTTAATAGAAGGTTGAACTGAATCCTGAGTGAGGTGCATACAATTCACGTTTTCATATATACATATGGCTCTTTTATTTCCTGGGTACAACTTACAAGTGAAACCCACACCATACTTACACACCTGCTCGGATGTGTTCTACTCCCTCCGTTTCACAATGTAAGACTTTCTAGCATTGCCCATATATATATAGATGTTAATGAATCTAAACACATACATATGTCTAGATTCATTAACATCTGAATGAATATGGGCAATGCTAGAAAGTCTTATATTATAAAACGGAGGAAGTAAATAAGACTTTTTTTTTTCAGGCGATCAACCGAACCACGACCCGATACATAACTCTCCTATCTCCCCAGGAAGAAGCAAAAATGAAGTCAGGCCTGGCAATTGATGAGAGAGTATCCATAAACACAACCACATAAAGGATTGGCATTTAAATTTTTGCTGGAAACAGATACTCTGCATTTCTGCTATCTGACTTTGAGTGGTTGAAATGTGGATCTCACAACCAATGGCCCTATGTGTCAATGATCCAAGTAAAAAAAAAAAAAGTACTGTACAGAGGAGACTCATCATTTTCGTTGACAGCCTAAAACAGTCCAGGAAGAGTTTTTTTTTTCTTCTTAGTTTTTTTCTTGGGTGTGTGGTCTAAAAGAACAACGGCAGTAGCCCTGGTTATTCAGTTATGATGTTGTTATTGAAATTATTTTACGGATGTCTGTTCATTAGAATTTAGTGGTAAAAAAAGATATTTTCATAGGCACCCTCTTACATTGCACATACAGTCAGCAAGAGCAATTGTGCCTATGGAAGCCAATTTCTCGTTGAGCGCAATTCCTATTTTAGTTATCCAAAACCCCTAATAAAGCATGACAAAAGATGGACAATTAAGCCATTGATATAACGTTTTTCACGACATGTACCACATCATTCACCATGATGTTGTCCCGTTCTTTGACCATGAAGAGGAATCGATAACAAATGAAAAAAAATTAATATCGACCTCTTTAATTATGAGTGGGATAAGCATATGAAAAGGAATTTCACCTAGCCACCTATGGAAATTGTTCGAGGTGGCTTGCTGGTCCACCTGTGAAAACCACTTTGAATCGTCTATAAAATTAACTCTTACAATAGTGATACTTTGTGCTAACACTTATTATATGTTCTAGCACTAACAGTTAATTAATTAGTAACAATGGGCGGATGCGACGTAAGATATTGGGCAAGAATTAGCATTTTGCATGTTAAACATAATCAACGCTTTAGTAGCTGTTTAGCTCGCACGACGGCCGGGTATTATTTTTTGGTGACCAATAATTTTTTAGATATCTTATAGTTGAGGGAAAAAATAATTATGCCGACAATGGAGTCGCGGCCGCGCGCCCAACCGGTAGGATTGCATGCAAATTAACAAGTTATTTGCGATACATGAAGAAACACGCTTCGACAGCTTGGTTGTTCCAATGTCCGCATATCGTGTTTACTTCTTCATATGCATTTCTTGTAAGCCCTAATACTTGATTGACCCCTTCATTTTTGAAATAATAAAATCTTCAGAAAGTTATGTATGTAGGCAATGATTAATTAATAAATACTCCCTCCGTCCCAGGTTTAAAGTTAAAAGTTAATTTTTTATAGGACGGAGGAGTAATAGCTAGAAAAACATCTTTGTATGGTCAAAATGTACGAATATCCCCCTAGGTTTAAATAAAGGATGGACCACGCCTGCTCACCCATGCCAAATGCCCTTCCACCGCGCAACATCTCAGCCAAAGGTAGCATATCTGCACTCGGCAGCATGTGTATACACAAGCCTATTGCCATGTTTTCACGGCCTAGCATTCTCCACATTGCAAAGAATGCTAACGATAACTACAGATTTATATCTAAGAAAGAGGGAGAACTTCATACATGGCACACTACATGCTACATAGCTACGTGACATGCCTCACGACCTTCTCCCACCACTCACTCATAACCCTCATAGTAATTTTGTTACTCTCAAGACACGCTCTCCACACACATCCATAATAGTAATATTTTTACTGCAACAGCCTAAAGAGTGGGCTAGGGATGGGAAAAAGTGGGTTTTCTGGGCTTAGAAGGATGGGCTGGCGGCGAGATTGGTGGTGGGTGTTGACGATGGGCAGAAGGCGTGGCGGCGGAGCTACGGGAATGGAAGCACTAGCGGTGGGTAGGGCTAGCAGTATGGATGAGGGAGGCCATGGCGGTCAGTGGTGGTGAATCATACCCGATGGCATAGGGGAATGGTACCCACACTGGCTTAGGATGGAAGAGAGGTAGGGGTGGAAGGGGGAGGAGGCCGGTCAGGTATAGGGATTACAAGCACCATTGACGTCTTCTGGTCAGGTGGCAAGGTTAGGGGCACCAGTCGGGCGAGGAGGAAGAGGTGCTGAAAGACTGTGCGCGTGAGTGCGTGAACGAGCGAAGCGAAGAAGAGATATAAGGGGATACAAGAAGAGTATGCACGAATCTCAATGCAATCCTAACCATTAAAAAAATACTTCATCCGTCCCATAATATAACAATCTAGAATTGAATATTTTATAGTACAACAAATTTGGACATGCATTATGAAATATCACATCTGGTTCTAGGTTGTTATATTATGAGACGGAAGGAGTAACTGAATTGAATGGTATTTTTCAGTTGACTAGACGGTCCTTAATTTTTCACCCCATGTTACTATCTACCTATTGTCATAACGTGTTTTTCTTCACCGTTGATCAACCCAAAGCATTTGAATTGACTTGTTGGACGTCTCACGTTTGATTGGGTGCAGACTTGACAAACGTAATCACTTGCTTTCACTGCCCATCAATGTCAAAATAAATACAATGATGAAATATTTTCTAGTGTATATATGAAGACAGAGAGCGCATTTGTGCATGTTAAATTGGCACGCATGCATGCAAAGAAGTGGTCTTCGCTGTTCCTTTTGACAGTTTGACTGCCGGAATCATCACACAGATTGTTTATGTCTGTCAGAGTGTCAGCAGAAACATATCATAATTATAGTTGAGTTGAATAGGTCACCTGGATAAGACATTGAACCTTACCTATGAAGTTTACGTATACAGCAAACACATTTTTCTGAATAATCACCTAGGGTGTGTTTAGTTCACATTAAAATTATAACAATATGACGAAAAAATTGAAAGTTTATGTGTAGAAAAGTTTTAATGTGATAGAAAAGTTAAAAATTTAAAGAAAAAAGTTGGGAACTAACCAGGCCCCAGCAGAGAGAGTAAGAGAGCGCGTCGATAAATAGCCGTACAAGGGCAACAGGTCAGGCACTTATTCAGTTCAGTTCAGACATCACCTAGTACAATGGCTTCACCGGCAATAATAACCATCCTCGCCGTGTCCCTCCTGCTGCTGCTGCCGCCGTTAGCGCTTGGCTCCATCACCGGCGGCGATCAACGACGCAAGGAGCCTTGGATTACTACGATATGTGAGCAGTCGATCGATCTCTGAACTTTCAGAAAATGGAACTTTCTGGTGGTAACTAATATTTAACTGAGCATTAATTACTCATGTGTTCATGGCAGTGAACGGTGGCGGCAGTATTGCGGGCATGGAGCTGCAGCAACGACGACGAGGAGGCCATGGATTGCCGGTGATGGTGAGATCAGCAGCACGGCGATCTCTCGGAGGACGATCGACACCCAACAGTAAGGCCAACACAACACACGTAATGAAAATAAACATTAAGTAAGGATACTGCATATAACAGGAAGGTAAAACTAATTAGAGTAAATTTCAGAAAACTACATGTTGTATGGTTCAAATTGCAGAAAACCACACATATTTTGACAGTTGACACTTAAGTACATATATTTTGGTAGTTTAGTTTCACAAAACCACACTATCAATGAATGGATTCACCCGTGAGATGATGTGGTTGTTCCATCTAGGATGAGGACGTGGCATCCTATTAATTTCGTGCAATGGCTGGTAATAGGATGCCATGTCCTCGTCCTAGGTGAAACAGTCACGTCATCTCGCGGGTGAATCCATTCATTAGTAGTGTGGTTTTGTGAAAATACACTACCAAAATATATGCACTTAAGTGCCAAGTGTCAAAGTGTGTGTGATTTTCTACAACTTGTACTACAAAACGTGTAGTTTTGTGAAATTTACTCAACTAATTAATACTCCCTCTATCTCAAAATATAACAATTTCTAGCCTTTAGAATTTGTTCTAAAATATAACAATTTTTTATTAACATTCTTTTCCTAATCAATCACAACTCTCCACCATTCAGTTTTCTTACATACTTCCACTTCTTGTCTAATCATAACCTTCCCCCATCCAATTCTACCTACTTTTTTAATAATTGTCTCCAATTCTAAAAATGCTTATATTATGGGACAGAGAGTATATAATTAATTAAGTTTAAAAAACATGTTAATAAAAATTGAGATAGAATTTGTATCTTAATAAAAAGAATGAGATTTCAGTACTACGAGTATTTGGCAGTCTATTAACTGGTACCCTGATCGGCCAGTTAGGTGACATTAATTGTTTTTTTTTTGTTTTTTAGACCCTGGTGATGGTGGACGTAACCCTCCAGTCTCCCCTGCACGAGACAGACCAGGGACGGAAGCCTGATGAAATGGGCAACTGTGCCCTCTGTGCCCGAGAGAAATTGGTCCCTTGGCAGAATATCCATGATTTGGTCTGTGTAATTTTGTGCGAAAATTGATCAGAGGCGCCACACCTGATCTCAGTCTAATGGGCTCAGTTTGCGGTGATGTTGTACTACATGCTGACACAATAAACCTATCTGACAACAATCTGCATGCCACAACCGAGGCAAATTGATGATATATATACAGTGCACAAAATTTATTCAGATCAGATTACATATTTGGATAATTTTACCATCCTTTAATTTAGACGATACCGATAAATACTATATTTTTCTAATATCAAATTTTAATATCTACGTGTACTTTCTTAAGAACTATAAAATTTCTCAATATATTTAGTTACACACAAGCTAGCACTGTGTACGTATCATAGCCACAGTAGTGAGTAGTACACTGGGACTTCACCGAATCAGTCTTTGGATACTCACTAACTAAGGCTGTCGGGCAGAGGGCGGTGACCAAAAGCAACCCTCCCGCGGGCAGACCGACGGCATCGGCTGCGGGCGCCAGCGCGCCCGTGGAGCTGCAAAAAAAAACAACAACATTAAACACAAATTAGTTTGTTGGTTCGTCGCATTTACGAGCTTAATTGGTGAGATCAGCCTGAGAATATCGATCATGACTGCTCACAAGGAGGGGTCACCGGAGTATGGCCGCCGTCCACCACCAGCTTGCACCGGTAGCCGCTCGTCGCCGCCAGCCAGAGCGCCACGGCGAGCTGAACGACGGCGAGTAGACGGTGTCGCCGTCGCAGCGGCAGAAGCGCCATCGCGACGATGTGCTCAATTAGCTCAGGACGGACGCTAATTAAAGCTAGGTAAAGTAGAGCTCTCGATCGATGCGGTGAACTTGGCCGGCCGCCGGTCGGTAGGTATGTACGCATTATGGACGTGCATGCACACAGGATTTGACAACAGCTAGCAGGTGATTCACATGTACAAGTGGCGCTGATTAGTCTTCACTTATATCCTCTAGGACCTCTGCTGTGGGTGTGGGCGTGTGCCTAATGGGCGATCGATCATCCCTATCCCCTCTATTACGCTCTCTCCCCCCTTCCTCCTCCCATTCTTCTCTTCTTACTACACCATAAATTTTTAAAAAATAAAAAAACAAAGTTGGAAAAAATTATGTATAGAAATACTATATATAAAAAAAATATTTGAATTTAAATTCAAATTTGAAACGGGTATGTAAACGTTTGACTTATAAACTTTTGGTCTATAAACTTTAGGTGTATAGAAATACTATATATAAATAATATTTGAATTCAAATTTAAATTTGAATCGAATATATAAACTTTTAACTTATAAACTTTGTGTCTCTAAACTTTAAATGTGTAAAAGGTGTACAAACTTTAGGTGTATAAATTTATTAAAATAGGAAAATAATACGGTGCCAAAAAAGGAAACCACGTGGAGGAGAGGGGGTATCGGCTAATCCGATCGCTAGGGGCGATCGATCGCCCCATAGCCTTTTCGTCTGCTGTGCTACTACTAGTTCTAAATTATTTAAAAACACTCGTTGTATTATTTTAAAAAAAAAGAAAAAAACATTTTTTTTATTAAACACTCGTTATTTTATAAGCAAATACTATTATTTTGATTCTACTCACTCGCAATTTATATTCTATATTTAACGCTTTGAATGAGCTTAAATGAAAATTTTGTCAACTACGAACCTGTAGACATAGTTTAGATATGTATACGACTTTCATATACATTTTGTCTCCATCCGAGATCATTTAGAAATATTAAATATACAAATAGATATGACAATAACACATTTTCGCACATCCAAATGTACTCAAATAAAAAAGGTGATAAACTACAGATTGTAGATCTTGTCAAGTTCTACAAATTCATAAAAAGTTAGGTAAACAACACATATATGAGTGATGTCATCATGAGTGTCGATTTTAATTGACAACCAACATCTAGAATCATAGGTGCCGGTTTTTATTGAAAATCAGTACACATGTGATCTCCAATATGTGTCGGTTCACAATAAAAATCAGCACCTGTTGGGCGCACTCACAAGTACCGGTTTATTATAAAAACTAGCAACTATGTAATGTTCATAGGTGCCACTTTATTATAAAAACTGGCACATATGACTTGGAGGGATTATTGGTCCTTTTTTATGAATTGCACCAATAATAAGGTTATGAGCAATTTTACTGTCCTTGAGGAGGTACCATAAAGTACCATTTTTTCTATTATAAATTTGGTACCTCTTGATACCTAGGTACTACGAGGTACCATGTGGTACTAAATTTTACACTAAATTTTTGGTACCTCATGGTATCTCCTCAAGGACCGTAGAATTGCTCTAAAGTTATAGGTATCGGTTTTAATTTATAGACCTATGAAAAAGGCAACAAAAGTCTCACATATGTCGGTTTTTACGTACCGACACATATAGTACTAGAAAAGTGTTTTTCCTAACGACCAAAACTGGTTTTTGTCGGCGGTCAGCAGTGTCTCTAGCAACCTAAGGCTAGCGAAAATATATGATTTTCGCTCGCAGTTGCGGTCTGCATGTAAAAATTGATTTTTGCTTGCAGACACCTATGAGGACCGGCAGCGAAATCTTTTTTTTTTTTTTTGCAAAGGAAAAAATCAATCAACACTCAGAAACGGTGCTGCATTTTCAAATTCACATTTAGAGATCCAGATTCGAATCAATTCAAATCCACATCAGATTTAGATTCAAATCCACATCAAGAAAGCACTACATCGATATTTTCCACTACATTTTCAACGTGCAAACATCAACACACTGAAATAAAATAGCACCAACAAATGTCGATCGTTGTGGCACCGTCAGCTATCGGCGTGCTGGTCATCGTCATCACAGGTGGAGTGAGAGTGAGAGAAGAACTTAGCTCGGCTAGATCCGGAGCTGTGCCAAACCAGCCGTCGCTGCTGAGCCTCACCGCCCTCTCCTTCCTTCTCCGAGTTTGAGGGCGCAGCCACCTGCAAGAGAGGCCACTGCCACCACTCCGTGGATTTAGTTTTGTGATGAATGTTCTGGGATGATTTGATTTGTTGCCGTTGGATTTGTGATTCAGTTTTTTAATGAAATTTTTGGTTGCATCGAGCCCTTTTTATTATTATTCTTGAGACAATAAATGTGCGGTTTCAAAATCGGCACCTTTGATTTTTCTCTGACAGTTGTTTAGTTATTTAGTTTTCTTTAGTACTGTCTGCAAATCAACTCCTTGATAGTACTGATATTAATTTGGTTGACAGAGTTGTTTTTCAGATCCCGGGGACGGCGGACGTGATCCTCCGGTCTCACCTGCAGGGACAGACCAGGGACGGCAGGCTGATTAACTGCGCCCAAGATCGAGAAATTTGGTGACTTGGCGTAAAAAAAGAAAAACTCAGCACGGACTGAATGAAACAGGACAACAAAATAATGTACCCTAAAATATAAGAAACTAGCACCAAGTAGTACTACTGATTATACTGCATTGTGCATAGTTTTTTATTGACTATAAATTAAAGCTGATGCAAATTGTTGATGTGTGCAAATCTGATGCACCAAGTTTATTCAGAAAACACACGTATAGTAGTACAGTGCGTTAATTGGTACTCCATACTTAATTTTCTCAATCTTTGTTGCTCGATACGACGACACATACTATATAGCTAAGGCTGTAGGCGCAAGTGCTGGCCGGAGCAACCCTCCGGCGGCGACGGTGGCGGAGGGCGATTTGCCTTTGGAGCTGCAAAGCAAAAGGGAGAAAAAAAAATACATTTCGTTCGTCACATGTCCATGATGTTAATTTGTGCGTGCACCGGTGAAGAAGGATCCGGCCGGGCTCGCCGGGGCCGGAGAAGAAGAGAGAAAGGTACTCACGAGGAGGAGTCGCCGGCGTACGGCCGCCGTCCACCAGCACGGTCGGCGGCGGCGGCGGTGGCGGGACGGCGTCGAGCTTGCACTGGTAGCTACTCGTGGCCGCCAGCCAGATCGCCACGGCGAGCTGAACGATTGCGAGTAAGCGGAGTCGCCGCAGCCGCGCCATCTGATCACAATCAGAAGAAACAAGATTTTGGAGTGTCTTGTGTCTACTATAGCTACTGTACTAAAATAGCGGCCCGGCTGTTCAGGATTTGACGACAGCAGCTTACGTACTCCCTCCGTTTCACATGAATCCTAATCCTGAAGATTAATTTGGATACACGCTATGTCCAAATTCATTCAAAGAATTATTTCTTTTTACATAGGAAGTAATTATTAGCTCATCAAGTGTACACCTATATGCCAAAGTACTCCCTTATACTCTCAGGCATGCTAGGTAGATAGAAGTGATAACTTATTTTTTCTAAAAAAAGGGATCATCACGTGATAATAATACCTCTAATATACATCCGTCCCAAAATAAGCACCAACCTCATATTAGAATGTAACACATCCTCATAAAATATAAATGATGTATCACATTCTAGCATGAGATTGGCTCTATGTCCAGATTCATTGTAATATGATGTGTCGCACCTATATATATTAGTCTAACTAGGATGATAGCCCACGCATTCGCGCGGGCATGTGTATTAGTTTGTTCTGAAAATAGTTCTAACAAAATAAAGTGAAATTAAGGTAAGGTGTTTTCTATTTTTAACAGGGTGTTCATTGTATCTCTTTTTGAAGAAATCTCGATAAACTTTTGCTGGCAATAAATGTTTTTTTCCACCTTGTCAATCCTCTTTTTAATTGATTCATATATATGTGTAATTCGTTATGCATGTGAATCAATAATGATAAGTTCTTTTAAAACTATTAGTTATATTTTGAATGTAGTGATTGAGTGATTATAATTTCGAATTTGTTTTCAAATCAAATTATTGTGTTATTCTAAATTTTCATTTTAAGGATTTTAATTTGTACTTAATCTCGTATCGTGTTGTATTTGGACTCATCTTTTAATATTTATTTTATTATTATTCCAAATTTTAGATATTTATAACTTATACTTTTATATGGACTGTTTTATATTATACATGGGATCTTGTTATACATTTTTTAATAGTTTTAATGGTTTTTTTTAAAAAAATTGAATGTGTATTTTAATCAAATTGCTTATTTTTTCTGAATTTAATTCTGAACACCTCGGTGATAGAAACGTCTCTCTCTGGCCCTCCTCTCGGTCCTTTGTCCTTCACCTAATCATCTAGCATGCTATTAGGCTTAGGAAGTCATGGAAAGTCTATATTGGCGCTTCCGTCGGTGTCCACCTCGCTAAGGTTGTGTTCTTCCCCCCTCCTTTCCCAACTTAACTCTCTCGTTTTCGGTGCACATGCTTTCCAAACTAATAAACGGTGTTTTTTCTAAAAGTTTTCTATAGAAAAATTGCTTTAGAAACATATTAATCCATTTTATAAAAAAATTAACTAATACTTAATTAATAATAATCTAATGTAATGAGTCGCTTTATTTTACGTGCGTGGGAGAGATTAGCTCCAAAACCTATCTAATGAACACAACCTAATAATATATTGCAGCTCCGCCTCCGTTGAGTTCAGGCCCAGGGTATCCACCATGGTTCCAAACTCTTTGATGGTGGTTGAATCTAGACTTTAGACTCACATATTTGAATTCATTTGTCTTTTCACAGTGCAAATTTTGCTCAAATATTTGTAGTCATAATGGCTACATTATCTAAATTTTATATAGTAAATATGGGTAAATGGATCTTGAATTATGTATTTAATTATAAATAACATGACAAAATGCAAATAAATTGAGAAAAGTGCATGTAACTTGAGAGTCATGATCATTTAACTATCTGATTATTATTTTTTATATATTATATGTTAGCTAGAAAATAGGAAATGTTGGCTCGAAAATAGGAAATGTTGGCTCGAAAATAGGAGAGGAGACTGGGATCCCGGAGGAGAGAGTTGGAGGGTTGAGAGACTACGTATGTACATGTGTGCCCACACACGGCGGGGTTGGGGGTACCATATTTTCGTGTATTGGGGATACCATATTTTTTTTTTGAGAGATCTAATGGTTAAAATTAGTGGGTCCGCCTATTTAAAGAAATATCAATGGTTAGTCTTTTTCTTTTTTATCAAAACTTTTAGGATTTTTTTCTAATTTATTAGATCGTCAAATGGCATCTTAAGAACATTTGTAAAATGCCATGTGACAGTTTGAGAGCGTTTGTAGGGAGTTCAATGAACTTTTAGTATATAATAGATGTTTAATGGATTTTAGTATATAATATATAGATAGATGTGTAAAGAATATAATGCAGTAAACTTTCTTCAAACATTATATACGTTTATGATGATGCAGTCTAGGTTTGCAAAGTTATAATTGTTTGTTTTTAATAATGAATGTTATTTCAATTATCCTTAGAAATTATAAAAGGAAAGGAGAGAAATATGGACGTGATAAGGGTGAGCGGTTTCGCACGTGCGTACGTACTTACTTCATATGTACGGACTTATGGGAGAGCTGGGGCCGTTGTACATTAATACAAGGGTTTATAATATCGGACCCACTAATTTAAGTGAATATTTTAAGGGTTAGATATTTTGCTTTTGTAGAATTTCTATTATTTATTTATCAGAGCGCCACGTGGTAGCTTAGGAGTATTTGTAGGGGTGGCATGTAGCGACTTAGGACCGATTTAAGTGAATATCGATGGACAAATATTTTTGTTACAAAATAATATAAAATAATGGGTACATAATATAATATAATGGTGTAAACTTTATTTTCAAATATTGTAGAGCTAATTTATTTATGTTCACTTGTAGAGATTTGTATGCTGGTATATTCTATATTTGTAAAGTGACTTTTATTCAAAATTTATTATCACTTATTATTATTATTAGTATTATTATTATTATTAGTGCTACTATTATTATTATTATTATTATTATTATTATTATTATCTCAATTATATACCGGAAAAAAAGAGAAAGAATAGTAACGTACCTTGGAAAAAAAAGGTTATGTACGTGCATGCACCCCCTTTAACAGATCGCATGCAAGCAGTAACGTACCTATATATGGAATGGAACAGAGGAGTTATTTTGAGATAAATCTAATCTAACGGTTTATAATATTGGACCCACCGATTTAAGTGAAAATCGAGAGATAGATATTTTTCTTTTTTCTCAGATTTTTTAGAATTTTTTCTAATTTATTAGAGCGCCACGTGGCGGTTTGAGAGCGTTTTGAGGAAGCTTCATTGCTTATGATTTAGGGGGAAAATATTGTTTGTGAAGGATCAACTTCTGTAATTTTTAATAGAAACTAGGAAGGAAGCCCGCGCAAATGCTTGGGTAACTTATTTATAAAAAATTACTAAAAGAAGTCATACTTCACCATATTAATTATAAGAAACGCTTATTTATTATTTATAAAAATAATGCTAAAGAATCCTATATCACCATATTAATTAATTATAAGGACCATAGATCACCTTATAATTATATAAAAATAAATGTCTAGACACAACAAAAAGATCATCTCTACTTCATACCAAATTGTTCATGTCTCACTTGTGTTCAAATATATGCATAAATATTTTGAAATATTACTCCTACCAATTCATGGGATAAAACCATTAAATTTATGAGTAAGTATACTATTTTTTATGCTGGTATATTCTATATTTGTAAAGTGACTTTTATTCAAAATTTATTATCACTTATTATTATTATTAGTATTATTATTATTATTAGTGCTACTATTATTATTATTATTATTATTATTATCTCAATTATATACCGGAAAAAAAGAGAAAGAATAGTAACGTACCTTGGAAAAAAAAGGTTATGTACGTGCATGCACCCCCTTTAGGAATGGAACAGAGGAGTTATTTTGAGATAAATCTAATCTAACGGTTTATAATATTGGACCCACCGATTTAAGTGAAAATCGAGAGATAGATATTTTTCTTTTTTCTCAGATTTTTTAGAATTTTCTCTAATTTATTAGAGCGCCACGTGGCGGTTTGAGAGCGTTTTGAGGAAGCTTCATGGACTTTTAGTATATAATAGATAATAGATAGATAGATTTGAAAAATCTCAATCAGGTTGAGCAATCTTCATCTTGGCATGCAGAAAAAGGGGACACAATATATGTTGGAATAATGGGCTAGGCCCAATTTATTCTCAATTAATTCTATTGGTCCACAATTAATACTATGGGGATTAATATCAGCTTGAAAATTTAAGTGGGAAGATCTCAACTTAAATAAGGAGCTATTAGAGAGCCCCTGTTAACCGGTTGAGGTGGTGGTGGGACAGCCACGCGCGCGCGCGCCGGGCTGGGCCGAGGCCTTGGCAAGGTAGGCAGGCGGCTGGTCTCTCTCTCTCGTTTTCATTTTGTAACAGACGGAGATTGATTCAGTAATCAATTCGGTTTTAACGAGAGCGAATTCATTCGATGTTAATCATGTGATTAATTACGCAGATTGAATCCGAGTGTTATCCTTGCGCTACAATTCCTCTCAGCAACAGACAGAGGAGTAACATCTCTCTATCTCCTAGCGGACTGTCTACTTCCTCCTCGATTCCCCTTCCTTTTCCTGAGCTGCTTCTGGCTTCCCCGGTTCTGTTCACTTGCGCGCACGGGTGATCAGGACGAGCAGGCCTCCGGAACTCCGTCCAGTTGCGTACCTGCATGGGTAGGCGGGCGATCAAGTTTTTGGGGAGCGCTCTTGGGCGCGACTGCTCCTGTTCGACAACGGTTCTACACTGCTACATCTTCGCCAACATGTCGACGGACAACACCAACACTCGCACTGGCACTGGAAAGCCTCAACTAGTACATGAGCGTTCTCAGGGTATATGTCCATTCCCTTACCGTTAATTATGCTGCTAGAAGATTTTTCTGTTAATGCTTATCGCAATGTTACAATTGCGTTACTATGTGAATGTTATACTTATTTTATGAAAAGCATGCTCATGCTGAGCACCATCACTAGATCAATTCTCATTGCAAATGTCATGTTTATTATCTTGTTGGTGGACCTGCAGCCAATTTTGGGTCAAGAAGAAGAGAACGAGGTAGCGGAGAGGTTTGAGGTGATGTTGTGTGGTGGAGAAATGCGTGAGATGAGGATTGTGTCCGATATTTCACTTCGCACCGGTTGCTCGATCTGAAGCATTTTCGGATTTGTGATTCTATTTTGAACATTTGTGTTGTGGTACTGAAATTTCCGAGATTTCAGAAAAACTTTTTAAAATAATTCGAACTAATTTTAGCCAAATCTAAACAAATTTGGACCAAATTCAAAAAAAGAGAAAAAATTTGAAAATTATGACGAAATATTTTGGTGTCCGGTGAGGGTCCGAAATTTCGGGAATTCCGAACGAAAATTATAAACATTGTGCATGGGAGTTTAATTACGGGGATGGGAATTTATCCTCATGACTCCCTGCCTTTCAATACGCTGGGGGAATTGGGAGGAAATTCATCTTCACTTAAAATATAATTTCCTTCTATACTACGTAAGACTATCGGATTGAATCCAATAAACTTCTAAACTGCCTAAGATATCTGTCCAAAATTAGAGATAAATTAGCAACACCATACCAAACCAACCAAAATGACAAATTAATTCTCAGTCCAAAATTACATGCATGGACAGTGCAGCAACAACCGGCATCCATGAATCCATAAACCGAGAGTGGCCAAACAGCTGCTACTTCACCTGCACTGCAACTTCTTGCGAATCCTTAACCCTCTGAATCTGATAGGTTGTCAAGATAATCTTGCATTTGTGGCTTTGACACGACGACGATGACGAACACTGCCTGATTCTGATGGAGCAGAAGCTGCCATTTCCCGATGGGCACAGCAAGCTATTCGACCGAGGAATCTCTACCTTCGCTGCCGATGCAACCTCTTGCACCGGCAGCAAGCTGGTCGTCGGTGCCGAGGAGAAGCCCTTCTCAATGTTGATGTTATTCCAATACACTCCTATAATCGATAATATTGTAAGCTAATATATTGACGTGCAATTCTTTTACGTCTTCGCGAAAAACCGGTAATGTCGTAAGGAAATGCCCCCAAAAGCTCCCACGTGTTCACCCTTCCAACCTCTTACAGGCTAGATGTTGAAGAAGCATCCTGGGCCGTTGGATATCAATCCAACGCATAGCAGTAGTCGACCGAGTAGACATTGACTTGGGCCGTGCCCGGCCCGGCCCATCGTGCTTCGTGCCAAAACGGGCCGTGCCGGAACAACCCCCCACCACGGCGGCGGCGGCGGCGGCGCCATGGCGAACAGCGGCAAGTCATCGCCGGCGGCGACCTCCACCACCGCGCCGCCACCGGGTCGGCCGAAGGCGAAGGCGCCGCCCCTCACCGTCGAGGGCTACCCCGTGGAGGGCATCTCCATCGGCGGGCAGGAGACCTGCGTCATCTTCCCGACGCTGAGCGCCGCCTTCGACATCGGCCGGTGCCCGCAGCGCGCCGTCTCGCAGGAGTTCCTCTTCATCTCCCACGCCCACCTCGACCACATCGGCGGCCTCCCCATGTACGTCGCCACCCGGGGCCTCTACCGGCAGCGCCCGCCCACCATCTTCATCCCCGCCTGCCTCAGGGACCCCGTGGAGCGCCTCTTCGAGCTCCACCGCTCCATGGACCAGTCCGAGCTCAGCCACAACCTCGTCCCCCTCGAGATTGGTCAGGAGCACGAGCTCAGGAGGGACCTCAAGGTGAAGGCCTTCAAGACCTACCACGCCATTCCCAGCCAGGTGAAGGGTTCATCAGTTCTTGGTTGTTCTGGATGAATTATTCTTGATTGATTGATTTGGTCGGAAATGTGTGGTGAATTTGGTTGAGATGTGATGTGATTGTAGGGGTATGTGATATACACGGTGAAGCAAAAGCTCAAGCCAGAGTATCTTGGCCTCCCTGGGAGCGAGATCAAGCAGCTGAAGCTGTCAGGTGTGGAGGTCTGTTGTTGTTTTTTTTTTTTTTTGATATTGTGGATGTCTGGATGAAATGGAATACAATTCACAATTTAGTTATGTTGTTGATGCTGTGCGTGGTTCTGTTTTTCAGATTACGAATACATTGACGGTGCCTGAGATTGCTTTTACCGGAGATACGATGGCAGATTTCATTCTTGATCCTGATAATGCGGATGTTTTGAAGGCGAAAATTCTTGTAGTGGAGGTATTGCTTCTTATCGTCTATATGGTTAATTTGTTGTCAATTGTCATTGTTGCTATTCAGCCTGAGAAAAAAAAAAGAGGGAAACTGTTTCTTCAAGCACGGATATCAGTATATTACCAAGATTAATTTTATCAACAGAAGGAAAAGCAACAGCCTTTGCTTTTCAGGAGAGATTGATTCCAACTCCATATTAACTGATAACTGAGTACCATTTTTTCAAACTGAAACCTTTGCGGAACCAATTGGCAGCAATTAGTGGGAACTATGTTGCCTGAAGCATGTTTCAGTTTCCATACTGAATATTTATTGTCCTTCTCCTGACGAAATTTTAATTATCTCCAAATTTAACTTAGTGAACTGTGTTCTGGAAATTGCAGAGTACTTTTGTTGATGACTCTGTTACAATTGAGCATGCAAGAGAATATGGGCACACCCATCTGTTTGAGGTTATTCCCAAATTTTGCTTATTTCATATTTCTGTGGAAGAAAAACATTTCACCTAGCATTGCTAATTTTGCCCTTATCTTTTTTTTTTATGTATGCAGATACTGAATCAGTGTGACAAACTTGAAAACAAAGCTATTCTGCTAATCCACTTTTCTGCTCGTTATACCGCAGAGGTGAGCTATCTCTGTTGTAATCCAATTTTACTTATATCATTTTATCCTGATTCAATTAGTAATCTGTATGCTTTGTTTCAACTCTGTGGATTTATTTTTTGTTTCAAGCAAGTTTCACCAATATTGTTATTTTTTAATGCCATCATTATGAGCAGGCAAAATGTGCCCACTTTTCTTGTAGCATCCTCCTTTCCTCTTAAAAGTACACATGTTTGTGTTTCATTCTTTACAAATAAATACATTTATCTTCAATTTTTTTCTCACCATCATTAAACATTTCATCACATCCTTTTCAGGAAATTGATATAGCAATCAATAAGTTGCCACCCTCTTTCAGAAGTAGAGTTCATGCATTGAAGGAAGGTTTCTGACAAAGATGAAGTGATCAATCAGAAATGAAGCATTCAACCTTACTCTCCTCTCGATGCACTCATGTACCAAGAACTCTTTTTTTTTTTGGGGGGGGGGGGGGGGTGGGGGGGGATCGAATCCTTAACTCTTGAGTCCTGAAACATTTCTGTAGCACCCCTTCACACACCGAACATTAACAATATTTTACATTTTTTTGGTCATTGGTGATCGCAAAGAGCAATCGTTACATCCATGCTGTATTACATTATACATAGAGATAGTACATGTTGTGGATAATCCCTGGCCCCTCTTGAAAATACGAACATACCAAAATTCACTCAATTTCAAGACAAAATGGACAGGAAATTTAACCTGGCTACCCTTCCATTTGTCACCCTTCTATGTCGTCCAAATGTTTAATTTTCTTTCCCCATTATATTTTTTTTCTTGATGATGATGATCTCCGTGGTCGCTCATGCTGCATGCCTACGTGACGTCATCTCGCCGGCGGATCAGCACGGCTCGCCGGGCCGGCAGGAGAGCGCGCCGGCGAAGCGTGTGAGCCTCCTGACGTAGGAGCCTGGCTTGGGCTTAACCATGTCGGAGCCCTTCACCTTCCTGTTGATGGCGCCGTTGGACGCCTGGAAGTAGGCGCCGTTCATGAACAGGTCTCCGTCCGAGCGCCACGCCCAGTTCTTCCACTCCCACTCCGGCGCATAGTGCCTCGTGATCTGCTCCATCACAGCATCGACTGTTTAGACGATGACACGGTCTCTAAAATATGGTCGATGGTTTCTTTTTTTAATATCAACATGGTCTTTAGAATACGACGGTATTGATTTTCGTGTATCGACACGATCTACGAAACATGAGACTAGTAGGTGTTACTTCCTCCGTTTCAGCTTATTTGTTATTCTAGCAAATTTCCCATAAACAAGTGGAAAATTACATCGTTACCTCATTAATTACTTCCTAATTGTTTCCCAAAGCTTATTTATAAACCGTTGTGCACGGTTGTATTGATAAAGGTTAGAGATGGAAAGTACTCTCTAAAATATTTTGCATTCCGGAAAACGGTTATTACTATTTTGATAAGGAATTTCAATGCTAGCTAGAATGATAAGTAATCTAAAACGAAAGGAGCTAATAGTACCAGTTTGGCGGCGATGTTGGGAGGGGCGATGTATCGGTTGCCCTGGCTGAGGATGGTAGGGCTCATGCCGCCGCCGATGGCGTACATGAGCCAGTGCGTGTAGTCGTTGTTGACGACGTGGAAGAACCCCCACCGGCATCGCGGCATCCGCTGCACGAGCCCACGGCCGAAGTGGTTGAACGCCACGGTGATCTGCATCACCTTATCCTGCGGGTAGGGGGTGATAATGGATCAAGATCCATGGTTTTTTTCTTTTCACAACTTTACCTAAGCTCTCATATATTTTTAGGTCAAATACAAATTAAATTTTAGCACACCCTATTTTGAACTCAGCCCTCAAATTTCGCAAATTTTAAAAGTTGGACCATTTATTAGCAACCTTAATTACCTGCGGGTACGAGTCGCTGGCGCCGAACAGCATGACGTCGTTGTGGTTGGTGAAGTGGCTGTTGGAGATGGTCACCCCCGTCGAGCCCTGCACGACGTCGATGAGCCCGTCCTCGCACATGGACATGGAGACGTGGTCCACCCACACGTCGGTGGCGGCGAAGAGCGAGATGCCGTCGCCGTCGGCCCGCGTGCGGGGGCCGATGTGCGTCGGCGAGTCGCGGACCGCGCCGCCGTCGCTGTGCTTCACGTCGTGGACGTGGAGGCTGGTGATGATCACGTTGCGGGCGAACTGGACGGTGATCCCGGCGCCGCCGCGCGCGATGTGCACCTGCGCGCCGCGGCCGTCGATGGTCTTGTCGCTGGCGACGAGGAGCTCCTGCGTGAGGCGGATCACCATGGACTTGGCGAAGGTGATCCACAGCGGCGCCGCCTGCATGGCGCCCCACCGGAGCGTGCCGTAGCGCGGGTTGGCGGCGTCGCCGTCGCCGGGGTCGGTGACGACGTAGATCTTGCCGCGGACGCCGCCGGTGGCGCCGCGGCCGAAGCCCATGGCGCACCGGGCGAGCCGCTTCCGGTCGGTGGCCCAGTCCTTGCGGCAGCGCCAGCACCGGTCGATCGGGTTCGTCGCCAGGCACGGCCCCTTGTACTTGCTGTTCTTCCCACTCAACTCTCGCCGGAGAACGCCGCGCTCCGTCGATCTACATCGTCAAACACATGGGGGTAATGGATTCTAATATCTCGAGGAAATTAAATATCCCCTCGTGCATGCACATTTTTCAATCAAATTCAATGCGAATGGCTGAAGAAAATTCTAAAAAATAAGTTGACAATGTAGAGTACGGTGCCAAAAGGATATTTACTGGAGGGATTAAAATAGTTTTATTGAACGCATGCGCTTTTGTCATGCAACGATAATGGCAATCTAGGATTCCATCCCCCGATTTCAAACGTAAGTTTGAAAGAAAGCTAGTTCAAAATTCGAACAAAAACTTAAACATAATACGAATTCCGACAAAATTTGAACGAAAATTGTGTGAATGGCATGCCTGATGACAGCGTGGTTGAACTCGTTGGTGACATTGAAGGGGTCCGGTTTGTACACCTCCTCCGCCGCCGCCTCCGCCGCCGCCCTGCGCTTCTCCCAATGCTCGTCGAACTCGCCTATGCCGGCGTTCGACACAGCGGCCGCCGCCGCCAGGAACACGCCGGCGACGAGGAGGAAGGAGCCGGGCTTCCTCCACTGGAGCCTCTGGTCATCCATGGATATATATCTTCCTATATATTATTCTCTTTGTCTATAACTATATACTATTTGTCATGAAACTTTGTTTCTCTTTTTTTCTTTTCTTGATTGTTTAAATAAAAAAAAAACTTAATAGGGTTGGATTTTTTTTGGGGAAAATGAAAGAACCCTATTGCTAACGTGCGTGGATTGAGGAAGGAGAGGGTTATATATGGAGGATGAGATGGTATAATTAGAGAAGAGGTGTGAGGCGAGGAAATAGGCAAGAAAAAGCTCTGGGTTTTTTTTTTGTGTGTGTTTGTGTGATTTAATTATTGGTGGTGAAGAAGCTTGTAAGAACTTGTGTGCCATCAAGTGACATTACTTTGTTTTTTTATTGTGTAATATTTGGCGCTCTATTCTTTGTAGGGAGAGACAGGGCAAAGGGTTAGTTCAAATTAATAATTCCTGTTGATCATTTTTTTTAGATTAATTGATTTTTATTAATTCAGCCTCTGTATCCACGAAGGATATACACAGCCATTTTTTTTAGGAATACACATATTATTGTATTATAAACACCTCTCAAACAAAGATTGAAAAGGAGATAAACACCTCTCAAAGGTCTAATTGGATTCAATTCGTCCTCCAGTATATCCCGGGATTGGACACTGTCATCGACGTCGTCCTATTTCTCTGAAGCTGAAAGATAAAGACCACCCAGATGAATCACAAATTCGTCGAAACCGATGAACCAAATTAAATGGGAAAATTCTTCATCTAAGTTCATACAGAAAAAGGACCTGGGTCTTTTCATCACGAGCTTTGAAAAGATTGTAGACCTCCGAGTGATCATAACACTTGGCCATCAGCTGGTACAGCTAGCTTTGGGATTCTAGGCGAAAACGGAATTAAATCACAAACTGATAAACAAAATGCAAAAATTTGAATTTCTTTTATGTTGATTTGGATAATCGGAGGAGATCGTTGAATAGGCGAACTGACCGTGCTGCATCACAACCGGTCGTGTACACAATCATTTTTGCAGAATGTGGGTGACGTACGGTGTGTGACAATCAGAAAAATCTGACTTTTTTTTAAAGATGCGGACATCCCTCTAAATATTTTTTCAAGAAATTGTGAGCGTGTTGGGGATTAAACATAGAACCTCGGAGTTGAAACTACACACCACTTACCGCTACACTATCAAATGCATCTCCTACTCTTATCGTATCAATGTGCTTGGTAGAGCCAAAACATTGGATAGGCATGTACATGAAATGTGCTTTCAAATCATAAATTTGACACGAGTGTTCGTATTTATAGCTAATTATTCTTTCAATGGTAGGCGATGTACCCGTCGACAGCGATACGCCCGTGGTGACTTCGTTAATCTCAAGATATACTGACCCAGTCTTTCGGATGTCCTCATATGAGTAGGGTGTGCATTCATAAACGGATGAGTGTGCGTGTGTTATGAGCGTCTACATTTGTACTGTGTTTATAGAAAAAACTTTGGATAGGCATAAACATGAAAGGAGCCCCCATGTGATATTTACGTCTCGCGTGGGAGCAACACACCCTAGCAAGGATTGCGTGGTGCCACCAGGACATCCGTTTCTATCTCTTTTTGCATCTCTTTTCTCAACTCAACGTACACGCGTAAGAGTTGGTTTTAACTTTTTTTCGTCCAAATTGCTGAAATTGCCAAATAGGACATTACATGTCCAATGAGTCCCTCCAAACTCCGTTGGCAAATTGCAACTTTTGCAAATCAACCTGTACATCGTACACCACCTGTATATATAGACAGAAGCGCACATAGGACAGATAGCTAGAAAGAAAGAAATAAAGCATATACTTTTAAGCAAAAACAAATGTAAAGAGCATGTCACCTTGTCGATTCTCTATGGTGATAGGGTCCAGGGCAATGCCATGTCATGCTATCTTATCCCTGTGCTTTGCACACAGCTTTTTCACCAAATCCCTGCAAGAATCCTCCTATAAATACCCACCCAATTGATCCATCAATTTCCCATCACAAAACACATAAAACTATATCATCATCTTCCATAGCTGTACACATCCTATATTTTCATTCATGGCGATGACACCGCAGCTAGCATTTTCTCGCATGCCTCCAGGGTTTCGGTTCCAGCCGACGGACGAGCAGCTTGTCGTCGACTACTTGCAGAGGCGTACCGCTGCGCAGCCATGCGTTACTCCCGACATCACCGATATCGACGTTTACAACGTCGACCCGTGGCAGCTTCCAGGTGCTATATATATGCGCACTTTAATTTGCATGAGCCTCACTACATACGGTGCTCTCTACTGGTAGTAGAAATCAATCTAAACCGTTAATCTTATTTGACCGAATGGTTCAGAGATCTATTTATATTATGGTAGTAAAATCGTGGATGGGTGTTATCGTCAGAAAAAAAAATAGGGGTGAAGGGTATAGTCGTCATTTAGCAGTGGCTAAACTCTTTTTTCTCCTTTTTTGGCTTTTTCGATGAAATATGAGCGATGCCAGCGCAATAGATGATCATAGATCAATTTAGCTGAGAAAAAACATAAATGACAAAATAATTTCTAATCATTGTATTAGTAAATTACTAATTTACCTTAATAATACTGATACTAGTAGTATAATACTACCAGTAGAGAGCACCAGAGCGTCGATTTGCATACGAGGCAGGGCGGAGGCAGGCCTAGGACAGGTAGGGCTTAAGCCCTAGGCTTGTTGCCTCCAAAATCATGGTTAAACTCTCTTAAATCATCATTTAAATTTGGGAAAAGAAATGAATAACTAATTAATAACACCCTACCTTTGTCCTACTCTTAGAGTCCGTCACTGCATACGCCGAAGTTCTATTGATAGAGCAGAAAAAAATTACAAAATTATAACCCTGAAATGTCGAAACCAGGAAAAAGGAAAAAATATATATTGATTGTGACCCTGATAGATGCGATACTAATGCAACATATATTGACTGTGTTTGTAGCCATGGCGATGTATGGATCGGATCATGACCGGTACTTCTTCACGATGGCGGCCCGAGAGGCGCAGGCCAGACGAACGACACCGTCGGGTTTCTGGAAGCCCACCGGCACAAAGAAGACGATCTTCGTCGTCGCCGGTGGGCATGAGGTGCCCACCGCCGTCAAGAGGAGGTTCGTCTTCTACCTCGGCCACCACCAACCATCGGGCAGCAACAACAACAACAAAACATCATGGATCATGCATGAGTACCGTCTCATGAACTCTCCAAGAGCGGCAGTGCCGTCGTCTTCTTCGGTGAATCGTCTTCCCACTGATGATCTCACGGAAGAGATGGTGCTGTGTAGGATCTCCAACAAGGACCTGCCTAAACCACCCTTCATCCACAACAGCTTGTTGCAGTTCTCTTCAGTGGGGTTGAATGGTGATGGGTATAATTACTTGATCCTTGATCACCTTGAGCCTCCAGCAATGGAGTATCCTAATGTTGGCATTGGTAATGTTGATGATGCTGCTGCTGGTACTGATGATCCGGGTGACCTTGATGAGGAGATTGATGATAGCATGCAAAGAAACCATGGTGGCTAGAATTAACCAGTAGCATCATGAGTGAATGGTTTTGCGGGAGATTTGAGTTAAATATCAGATAATAAAATAATAATACAAAGAATAAAAAGAAAAACAAACCTGTATAGTTAGCAGGTTTTGATTCATTTCGTTGAACTTTGTGTGCTTGTTAGCTAGCCTATATACCAAACATGCCTTGGCGAGGCTTTCTATTTGTATATAGCTTTTTTTCTTTTTTCTATTGTAAGGTTCGAACTCTATTGAGTTGATTGAATAAACATTATGCAATTTATGTAACATATTGTCTATAAAGTTCTATTGGCATGCATATTCATATATAGTTACAGTCCTTTAGTTTTAAATTGAAATTTCATTTTAAAAGTTCATTATTTGTCATTGACAATAATGACAAAATGCTCTAGTATGTTGTTTCCATTTACAAATGGAAAGTCCGTTTGGTTTGGCTGTTACTGTAACACCCCAGGTAACCACGTACATAGAATGCCACACCAAAATACACTCAAAAACTAAGTCCTAAAATTATTAGAAATTTCGGCAGAGTCTCCCTTAAAAATACGGACATCACGACAGGCAGTTATAAGAAAGGTCAATACCGATATAAACCACACAATCCAAACCATCCTAGCTCCATAAATCCCACGTGAAAAATAAGAATCAGAACCTTAAATGACCTTTACAAGTTCTATGCAAAACTTATGCTGAGCAAAAATTATAGTCTAAAACTAATTTCAATTGTGTGCAATAATAATGTGTAGTCCAAGGGTGCTACTCCCACCCCATGCCGATCGATGTCATTAGGTACCTAAAAACCAAATTAAACATAAGAGTGAGTAAAGAATACTCAGCAAGTACAATCTTGAACTAGTAAAACATACGCATGATTTATGCATTAAGAAACCAACATGAAGGGTTGGATTTACTTTATTTTTAAACCAAAGAAGTCAAAAGATAGTAGTTCCCTCCCGGGCAGGTGTGAATATCCTCTTAGCATTACCGGTAAGCCAAGCAAGCGTAATCAGCGCTTCACAAGGATCATGAATAAAGATCCAAATTGCACTCCCATAGCTACGCATGGTTCTTGAATAATGTAAACAGAACATCCGGAATAATGAAACATGAATAACGTCATGAATTTGAATATGGGTCGAAACACGAATAAATAGCATAACGTCATAGCCATACAATCAGTAATAACAAGCAATTGAATAATAATTATGCAAGTAAAGCCAAACAAAACAACTCAGTTTTGTCCATCACATAAGTCCGTCTTGTACTTACTTTAACTCATTCGATACTCCGACTCAACTCCTCCAACGTTGGAACCCTCCACACCTGTGGAGCAAAACTACGCATAAACCACTATATTCAACTAACGATGGTTACAAGGGATATTTACTAAAATCGAAACCTAGAACATATAAACCTTTTACCGATTTATATTAAATAACCTATAGCTGTTCCATTACTGTTTTATGAGTAACTCACAAACCGTCTAACGGAAACTAGCAAATAATACAACTTCGGACATCTAGACAAAATTGTCTACAACTTTCATGTTGAGCACAAAATCAGATTATGCCTCTGAAAATCCCAGATTAAGGAAAAACGAACTGCTGTCCTGATTTCCGGACCCGGTCAGCAGTACTGTTTTTGCTGTTTCTCCTAAACCGTTTATCGGAATCGAGTGAAACTAGCACCGTTGGAAAGATATTGACAATGACTACAAACTTTATTTAGGACAACTAACCTGATTCCTGATGGTTTAATACCAGATTTGAAAATACGGTTTCAGCCTAGCGTTCGATATAAAATAAATTCGAAAAAACCGGAAACAGATCGTCTTGAATATAAATTAGAAACAACTATAGACTAAAACGGATTACCTAGCAGTACTAATGTATAAGAAAAACGAAGAATTTGGAAATATTCACCAAATTCCCCAAATTTCCCTTCTTCTATCAAATTTCCCCTTCTTTCCCTCCTTCCTGTTCTTCTCTGCCTTCTCTCCCTCCTTCCTGTTCGTTGCAGGCCAACAGCAGCAGCAGCAGAAACGAATATCGGCAGCAACAGCAAGCCGTGCACCACCAGCAAGGAAGAGATCAGATCGGCAACAGCAGGGTTCGGCAGCAGCAGGGAAATTAACAGAAACAACAGTAGCTCACAAACGACCGGCTGCGGACGACGACGGCTGTGGCGACCGGCGACGGCTGCACCAGCGGCGGCACCGGCGAAGAGAGGAACAGCAGCGGCGGCGGCAGAGTGCAGGAGGTGCGGCGGCTAGGGCTACAGGAGAATCGCTCCTGTTTCTTTTTTTTCGTTTGTTTTTTTTGGTTGGTTATATAAAGAGACTAAATAAGATCTAACGGCTCACATCTATTCAATCCTCGGGACTTCGTTCGGACTCCGATTACTATAAATTTATAGTCTATTTTGCACTACTCGGCGAGCTCTACGCATCCACGGTTCCCGATCGCCTATACGAACAATGGTTTAAAAGTTGAACTTTTGCGCGTTTGCTCTAATATTCCGCGAGATATATTAATTTAAAACTCGGGGTATTACATTCTTCCCCCCTTCGATCGAATTCGCCCTCGAATTCGCCCAATCATACTCTAGAACACGGGATATTACATTCCTCCCTCCTTCAATCGAATTCGCCCTCGAATTCGTCCAGTTATACCTCGGACAAGTATAGAAAGGAACTCATAGGTAGGACTTATATAACTCACCAGACGTGAATAACTCTGGATACTTCTCCCGCATCTGTGACTCAAGTTCCCATGTGGCCTCTCGCTCGGTCTGGTGCGTCCAGAGAACCTTGACATACTTGATAGTTCTATGCCTGAGCACCCTCTCAGATTCCTCCAATATTCTTACAGGATGAGACTCAAATGTCAAATCTTGCTCAATGGTCATCGGCTCTACGGTAATATGATGTTCAGGGTCTCTCAAATATTTTCTCAACATGGAAATATGGAATACATAATGTACACCTTTCATGGACTCTGGTAACTCAAGGCGATACGCTAGGATTCCAACTCTTTCCACTATCGAGAATGGACCAATATACCTAGGGCTGAGTTTGCCTTTCGTTCCAAATCTCACAACACCTTTGGTTGGAGATACCTTTAGAAGTACTTGATCGCCCACTTCAAACTCTAATTCTCGTCTTCTGACATCGGCGTAGCTCTTCTGCCTACTTTGAGCTGCAAGCATGTGTTGTCGTATTTCTGCTATCCGTTCTGTGGTCTGTTGTACCCAACCGGGTCCTAAAATAGCTCTCTCCCCTATGGAATCCCAACACAATGGGGATCGACACTTTCTTCCATAAAGTGCCTCATATGGTGCCATTTGAATGCTAGCATGGAAACTATTGTTGTAAGAAAATTCTACAAGCGGCAAATGATCCTCCCAACTGCCTTTCCATGAAAGGATACATGATCTCAACATATCCTCTAAAGTTTGAATAGTCCGCTCAGATTGACCATCAGTCTGAGGGTGAAAAGCCGTACTGAATTTCAATTGAGTATCAAATGCCTCTTGCACAGATTCCCAGAACTTAGAAGAAAACTTAGCATCCCTATCAGAAACAATCGAGCGAGGCACACCATGTAACCTCACTACCTCGCGTGTATAGATCGGTGCCAAGTCACTCGCAGAATAAGTGGTGCGGATAGAAATGAAATGTGCCACCTTACTCAGACGATCTACAACCACCCAGATGGCGTCCTTTCCTCGTGGAGTTCGAGGTAGCCCAACCACGAAATCCATAGCAATATCATCCCAAGGCCATACAGGAACTTCCAATGATTGCAACTTTCCAGCAGGACTCTTATGTTCAGCCTTTACTCGCTGACATACCCCACATGACGCCACGTACTTGGCCACATCCACTTTCATCCTCTTCCACCAATAGATCTTCTTCAGATCATGATACATCTTGTTCTCCCCAGGATGCACAGTATATGGTGTTCGGTGTGCTTCTCGCAAAATCTCTTCCTTGACTTTAGCTTTTTGTGGAACACATAAACGCCCATGGAATCGCACAGCTCCCGAGGAATCCAAAGTGAAATCTCCAGTTTTTCCTTCCTTTACACGTTTCTTAACTTGTTGCAGCAACCGATCGTGTTGTTGGGCCTCTAGCACTCGTTGGGGTATGGCGGACTCAAGAATGACTCGTGACTCGGTACTTGCCACTCCAACATAACAATAGGAGATATCCATCCGTTCAAAATCAGTTATCAAACAACTCATAGTTGGAGGAACGACCTTACGGCTTAGAGCATCTGCAACCACATTCGCCTTACCCGGTGTGTATTGAACGTTAAGATCATAGTCTTTAATCAACTCTAGCCACCTCCTCTGCCTTAAGTTCAAATCCTTCTGAGTGAAGATATATTTCAGACTCTTATGATCAGTGAAAATATCACAAGATTCTCCATACAGGTAGTGCCTCCAAATTTTGAGAGCAAAGACCACTGCTGCAAGCTCAAGATCATGAGTGGGGTAATTCTGCTCATGCTTCTTTAACTGCCTAGATGCATAAGCTATAACATTGCCCTCTTGCATAAGAACACAACCAAGGCCTACTCGTGAAGCATCGGAATAGACAGTGAAACGTTTACCAGGTTGGGGCAAAGTAAGCACCGGAGCAGTTACTAGCCTCTGCTTCAATTGTTGGAAACTACACTCGCATTGGTCCGTCCACTGAAACTTCACATCCTTATGTGTGAGCATCGTCATAGGTTTAGTGATAATCGAGAAATCCTTCACAAAGCGTCGGTAGTACCCCGCCATACCCAAAAAACTCCTCACATCCTTAACATTAGTCGGCCTTTCCCATCCGACAACACTTAAAACTTTGCTTGGATCAACCGAGATATCTTGCTGATTAATTACATGCCCTAGGAAAGCCACTTCAGGAAGCCAGAACTCACACTTCTTCAGTTTAGCATAGAACTTGTTTTCTCGTAGGGTCTCTAGTACCATCCTCAGATGACGCTCATGCTCCTCTACATCTTTGGAGTAAATCAGAATATCATCAATAAACACCACCACGAAATTATCTAGAAAACTATGCAACATGCTATTCATCGCCTCCATAAAATAGGCCGGAGCATTGGTCAGCCCAAAGGACATTACTCTATACTCATAATGCCCATACCTCGTGGAAAATGCAGTCTTCTCAATATCCTCTTCTCGCACTCGAATTTGGTTATAACCAGATTGCAAGTCAATTTTAGAGAACACCTTCGCTCCCTTTAACTGATCAAACAAA